CTGCCTGAGATTCAACCCGGCAGCGTCAGATAATTTCCAGGGATGATTGAAATTGTCTTAAGGGCTGGCCCTGCCCTTTGGGAAAATGTGAGACCCCCAAACCAGGACCTGGGTCAAAGGCTTGGACGGGGCAGGGCCCCCTGCCTTGTGCCAGATAAATTCATCTGGAAAGGACTTTGTAGATAGTTCCTTTCTCTGGATCAGTAATAATCCACTTTTCAGGCCTTAGAGCCCGACGTGCCCTCCCGGGGGCCACCCTCACATTCCTGGGCTCTAGCAATCTGCCTCGGGTCCAGGGGCATCACTCAGGGATCACACAGAAGTATCTGGACTCCCATCCCTTTCCTAGACCCACAACGAGGCTGTTCTGACGCTCACTGCCCTCTCCCACAACCGCCCTACCCCACAACTAATTCCACTCTCAGCCCAGCTCCTTCTGACCCCAGCTGGGCAGACTGTGTGCCCGCCGGAAGACAGCCACCTCTCGGGCTTGCCCTAAAACCCCGAGGATGGAGGTGCCCAGAGCTTTGAATCTAAGTGAGGTCCAGGTGAGGCTCTAAGCCTATGGGACAGACCTTCATCAAGATCTCAGAGAGAAGATTCCCTGGCTTTCCAGGATCAGGGTGTTTTTTCCCCCTTGGTGGGCAAGAAGTTCCTTCTTTGATTCAATGCAAAATGTCTCCAACTTTAATTCAAATGTATTTCCTCTTGCTGGGCTCAGCGGGATTTAGTGTCCTCGCTTTCCTGCCCCCCACACTCCCGAATCCTTTCTTCAAATCCAAGATGATTAAATGTGCCAGGTGGATGAGTTGGATCCTTTTGTAAATCACCTCCTGATTTGTATGGCAACCAAATTGTTTTTTCCTATATCAGATTTTCCTAAATCTGCGTATGGCACCTGCTTTTTTGGGCTCTGCATAGGCAACTATTTTAAAAACAGATGTATTTGTTTTTAACTTGATAAGGTAAGAGAGCGCTTCCTCTCTTTCCCACCGAGAGCCCGGCTGGCTAGGGTGGGCAGTGCTTCCAGATGCGGGCTCTGGGCAGCGAGGGGCTGGCACCCCTGTCAGGGCCGGGTCACACTCAGGTCTTCTGACTCCAAGTCCAGTGCTCCCTCTCTCCGCATCATAGCTGCATCCTTGACACACAAGCTGGATGGATAAAGCACAGAAGAGGCTGGTGGAACAGGGGCGAGGGATGGAGAGGAGCCTGCCCAGGATTAAACTGCTGCTGCGGGTGCCACTTAAGTGGCTGGTGGAGAAGCAACTCTTCTCCCCACAGTGAGCCCCCAACCTGCCAGCCTGCTGCAGAGCCTCGCCCAGGCCACTTAGCACTCACAGCTTCTGCTACAAACATGCCAAGGTGTTTGCAAGACATTTTCCTCTTCTGAGACAGGAGTCATAATGTCCCGTTTCTAAATCTCAGCACCATTTATTTATTCAGCAGCATGTGCTGAGATGCCTCCCTACACACACACATACACAGACACAAACATCCCAGCTGAGCAGTAGCAAGGTGCCCTTGCCCATTAAGAATGATACCCCAGCCCTGGCTGGTGTGGCTCAGTGGATTGAGCGCTGGCCTGCACACCAAAGGGTGGTTCGATTCCCGTTCACCGCACATGCGTGGGTTGCAGGCCAGGTCCCCAGTAGGGGGTGCATAAGAGGCAACCACACATTGATGTTTTTTTCCCTGTTTTCCCCTCTGTCTAAAAATAAATTAATTTTTAAAAAAGAGTGATGTTCCATCCCCTTTTCCTGACCCAATCCTGGTGTGTGGGACCATTTCTGGCCCCTGAAAATGAGTCTTGTTGTTTAGGGAAAGGTGCCCTCCATCAAGACAGAAAACAGAGGGTGGCTGCAAAGAAAGCACCCTCAGGTCAGGAGGTCATAGCTTGGAGGGAGAGGGGAGCAGCCTCTGAGAAGTGTGCGTGCAAAGTGGCAGTCCCCTGTCTCTCCCGAACAGCCAGAGCAGTTTGTGATGAGCCTTTCCAGAGATGCATGGGTTTCCAGATGGTTTGTTTGGGGACGTTAACATGCTTTCTGGAACCTGGGTCTTCTGCCCACAGAGAGAGAAAGGGAATCTTTGACTGGAACACAGTCACGTCTCCTCCATGCCCCCAGCCATTGACAGGTCAGGTTCCACCACCCCGAGGCCTGGAGGAAGGAGACCAGCCCAGACTGGTTGCTTCTTGCCTGCGACTGCGCCCTCTGGCGGGGACCCACAGCCTAATCTTTCGCCCCAGGCTGGGGAATAATCTACAAAATGTAATGACTTTGAGCTGGGGCTCAGGCCTTGTGAAGAGTAAGTGTATACGACAGTAGGAGACTTAGGGTTTTAAAGCTGCATTCTATTACAGTGTCTTCTCCACGGTGATGTTAGTGTCCTTTGATGGATGATGACTAAGTGGGGGTGGGCAGTACTGGCCTAAGAGCTGCTTATTGTGCCATTTCCTTCAGACCAGCTCTTAAGCTACAGGCCTGGGCACGCAGGACTGGGAGAGGTAGCCGGGGATGGGCATAATTCCACCAGTCTTCTCGTCTTCTCAGCCAACGGAGGGGCCATTTCCGCAGAGCATCCTTCAGTGGGCATGCTGTGTCCTGTCTCCGAGGCTGCTTCCGCTGGCTGGATTAGTCTCTGGGTGGCTCTCCCCTGCTGGAAGGAGCCAAGGCCAAAAGCTCCCTTCTCCCCGGCCCAGCTTCTACAGAGGTGGGCCTGCCCACCGTCTGCCTAGATCCTCTTCTGGCCAGAGGAGAAAGAAGCCAAAAAAATTGATCATCCCTTATGGGCCCCCGACCCCCTGAAACAGAACAGGCTAGTTACTTGTTCGTTATTTTGTACAGGAGGGGGGTCAGCTGCCAGGGTGAACCAGGAGTCCACTGTCTGAACGCTCTCCATTTTCCCTAGCCCAGAGGAAAAAAGTGTGTTAGACCAAGATAATTCCGCCTTTTGAACATCTTGGCTTGATATTTGCCTCCATGAGTGAGAAAGGCCAAATGTTATCTTCAAGCTTAATCTTCTATATTCAAAAACTGCATCCGTTTGGTCTGCCGGAGCATTCCCAAATCAGCCACTTATTTGCTCTAAGCCTCTCTGATTTTTCTTCTCTTTAACCTGTTCTTTTCATCAGCCAGTTTATTCATCTCTCGGCTACAGCTTCCAAGGGGTCTCACCTTGGGGCCCCTGCCCCAGAGGGCATCCCAGGTAGCAGCCCCCCTTTTCTCTGTCGAGTCAGGAGCCAAGCCCAGTTTGGTGCGGTCTCTCTCCTACCCTCTTGTCCCCACCCCAGTCTCCTACCAGTCTGGCTGGGTGCATGGTCAGTCTCTTCCCATCCCAGTGGCAAGTGGATAAAAATCAATTCACTTCTGACTCTTCAAGACCCACCAGAAGTGGGGGGGCTGCAACCCCGGTCCCTATGGCAAGGTCATGGCCAAGAGGGGCGTTGCACATTGTTCTTCCCTTCTGCCATGGAGGGCAGCTGTCACAGGGCAGAGAGGGGAGTGCTGAGGGGGCAGAAGGGAGACGCTGGTTGCGAAGAGCTGCCCCGTGGAGCCCAGGCATCCGTTTCTTCGAGACAGGTTAGCTGTGGCCCAGAAGTGGCTAGCCCCGGGCTCACCTTGAGCTTTAAAAATCAGTGAGAACTTACTATTGCGATTTAAAAAAAAAAAAAATGTCTTTTTTCCATTCTGGAAAAGAAAATGTTTAAGATACTAAGGGGGACATGAAGACAAGAGGAAATTAACCTGGTTGGCAGGTGTGGCTCCCACTGGGGAGGGAGTGATAGAATCTGGGGAGGTTAAAGAGGGGGGCCCCGGCTGTGTCTCCGCCCCCCACCACTGCGGGCGTCAGTGGGTGTGAGGTCCCCACTCACTGTAGCAAAGGTACATTCCTAGCTCTTTTTCTCAGTCTGAAGTTTATATCTGAAGATGACTAACAGGAAGCAGGCGTTTTGGTCAGATATGCTTTAGCAGTAAATTGGTCCAGTCAGTATGCTCTGCATTCATATTTCTTTGTCTTTTTTTTTTTTAAACAAAAGGAAAAAAAGTTTAAATCCCCCCTTTCCTTCTACTGCAGGAGGTGAGTGTGTGGGTGTCCTATAGAGTATCATTGACATTCACCCAGCTTCGGCCCCAGCCTCCGGATTCACCATCCCCACCCCATCCCCTCCCTCCATCCCCTGCTCTCCACCCCAAAAGGGCACCCTCTGCCACCATCATTATGATTCTGTTAAGATGCCCAAATTTTCCATGACATATCCCATCCTCCGACCACGTTCAGTATGGACAATTTTCATGCAGGGATAAAAATGGGAGGGGTGGGAAGGGCGGGGGTAGCCAGTGGGGAGGGGGGAAGTGGTTTGGGGGGGTGCTGGAGAATGGAGATCTTTTTTGTCTTTTAAAAAAAGAAAAAAAAACCAAACAAATTTGTCATGTAATGGATCCAAAGACAAACAAAAAAGAAAAAGTGAAACAAGCAAAAAAAAAAAAAAAATCAAAAATCCCATCCCCAAAAGATTTTTTTCCTAGACACAAATTGCTTTGTTTCCTGTCACGTTTTAATATCAATATTAACACAATGTGTAGTCTAAAACTAGTTCCTTTGTAGTTTGCATGGGATGTGAATGCTGTCTCAACGTGCCCAGATCTAGACAAGACTGCATGAGCATCAATTCAGATGTGAACAAAAATCTCTCTTTCTCTCTCTCTCTTCCATATATATCTCTATTTCTATTGTGATAACTTGGTGGGCAGTGAAGCACCTCCGGTTGGTTGCCGTAGTGTGTTGAATGATTGTTTTTTTATTCTCTATATTTTTGGAGCTCCGAGCTTCTTAGTAGTAGCCTGGGCTGAGTATTCTTGAGTCCCTGCTGATGTTTTCGCATGGCCTTGGTTGAGTGTTAGAAGTTGGGCCTCAGCTGTTTTTCTCGAGTGTTTGGCTTGTAATGACCGGTGCATGCCTGGCTTCTGGCCTCATACCCAGCTCTATTCTCTGCACACCAGTCCTGAATAGCTACAGTGCTCAACCGAATTTTGGCGCGCCCGCTTCCCCGGCAGGCTCCAACCCGGCGCGGCCCGGAGGCTTCCCGGGGGCCAACAGCCCAGGACCTGTCGCCGATCTCTACGGCCCTGCCAGCCAGGACTCCGGAGTGGGGAATTACATAAGTGCGGCCAGCCCACAGCCGGGCTCCGGCTTCGGCCACGGCATAGCTGTAAGTACCTGCCTTTCTCTACCCTCCTGCCTTCTCCTTGCCCATCGTCTGTGGCCCATGGGGAGGGTGTGCCAGGAGAGCCCAGAGTTGGGAGCAAGGAGAGGGCAGTGGGTGGGTCCCCATCCATATCACTTCAGCCACCTATGCCTGAACTTCCTGTTTGGACATTACCTGGGTTCCTGTGGGCCAGGCCACGTGATGGAGTGGAAGGAGCATGGGCAGGTCTGGTTCAGAGCACCACTCCATGGCCTTCAGCCCGTGCAACCTGGAGCCACTTAAGTGGGTGTTTTGCACCCATCTCTTCCCTGGCTGCAAAACAAAAATAAGTATGCCTCTCTCATAAGACTGTGAGAATGAATGGAAATAGAATATGTCACCTGGTGGCACATAGCAGGTCCTCAGTATCAGCCCCTGATCCTTGATCTCTGCCTTCTGGAGACTGTCATGCGGGCTGGGACCTCAGAGCTGCAGAGCCCCTCACCTCAGGGTAGCACCCTTAGTGGGTGGAGCCCCCCAGCCTAAGGACCAGTGGCAGGGGCTGGTGCCGGTGACGTGGTGTGGGGTATAGGCCCCCTCCCAAGGAGGTTTCCTTTGCTAATGTTTCTTAGTTTCCAGGTTCCAAGTAAGTTCCCATTTGTGTTCTTTAGCTGTGCCCTGCCCCCCAAGGCCAGATGCATTTGATATTTGTAATGCTCTGTGGTTCTATAATCTGACTAATCCAGGCCATAGAAATTTGCTTAACAGATTTGCATGCCGTTTTCAGATTGTATTGTTCTTTTCCCCTCCCGGTGTGTGTGAGCATGAATGTGCCTGAGCCCACTCACTCGCTGTTCCTTCCATTTGGGAAACAAAATCGGCCAACCTCTGCCCTAGCCAACCTCCGCATTTTGGAGGCAGTTTGGCTTTGGGCTAAGATGGGAGTGCATGCTGTCTCAGGTCCTGTCCTTGTCGGGAGAGCCCTGCCTCAGGGGCTGTGCTGGGGAGAACAAAGCAAGTGCAGACACCAGGGCCCCTGGATTGCTGGACTCACTCACTCACTCACTCACTCACTCACTCACTCCTGCCTACCAACCCTGACCTCTGCAACCCGGATCTGCGTTCCATTCCACTCCCAAGCCAGTATCACTTCAGTCAGTAGGTTGATAAGTCAAATCCCCTCAGATCAGCTGCAGTACCAAATCCAGAGTTTTATTATTCAGCTGAGAGCTGCATCAGTTTGGGAGACCGTCTATCACCACATAGAACACAGCTCATTTCCATTTTCAGCGCCCAGAAACACAGGCCCTATTTGTTCTTGAAAACCTGGGTCTTTTGACCTGTGTGCTGCGCTGGTTTTCAGAAATAACCACGTCGCATCACGTTTTGTCTGCACAGGCCTTGCTTTCTCCCCATCTGGAGCCGCTGGAACTGAGGACAGAGACACTGTTATCTTAGCCCTCCAGGGGTTCAGGGCAACAGCGCCCCTGATTTTGGGCATAAGCCCCCCCCCTTTCCCATCGCCCACCCACCCCCTGAATCTGGCTCTCGATTTTCCCCTGGGCACGAGGACAGGCTTGGGGTGGGGAGGGGGGGCTGGGGGGTTTGGAGCTGGAGAGGGTGTCTTCCTGGCCCCTCGTGGCACGGTGTCTCAGAATTACATATTCATGCTGGCAACCACAGTCTAGTCCTAGACATAATTTCCTTTCCCAGAATATGACAATCTGTTCCCATGTATAGCGTGCTGATGACCTTAACAATTGTGCAATTTTAGGGACCTTTGATTGCAACGGCCTTTACAAATGGATACCATTGAGCAGGTGCTTTCGTTGCCATCTCACTCTGAGGTATTACCTTCTCTGCCATATGTCTCCGCCCTGCCAGGCATGTCCCTACATGTATGTGCACCGGGCATGCAGTGCGCACGGGCCCTGGTCTCATCACATCAATCTCTCTCCTCTTCCTGGACCCCTTCTCAGGAGGGTGGGGGCAAAAAGAAATCCAGTCTTTTAATCTCTCATTCCTTTCTCCAGCTTTAATCATGACCCCCACTTTTTTTTTTTAACTGTCTTTTTTTTTTTTCCCTCGGTTTGGTTCTTTTGATTCCTTTTCTTTATCTTCCCCACCCCTCATCTTTCTTTGTCTTGAAATACAATCAAGAGTGTGGGAAACTGGAAGGAGATCGAGGGTTGTGCCCGTCCCAGGGGGATGAAGGCAGGGAGATGCTGGGCTCCTGCCAGGCCTCCCCCAGGGTCCTGTGAGCTGACCCTGAGGGTCGCTGGGTCTCTCGGCTCCCCGGAGCTCCCTGGCTTCAGCCAATGGGGTTCCTGTCGTCAAACAGCCAGACTGCATCTTTTAGTGAAAAGAAAACATTTCTGCCAGTAACGACTGAGTAATTACCCAGATTACCGCTCGAAAAGCAAATTAAATTAACGATATCACCTGCAAAACGTGGATTTGGATCCCTGCCAGTTTCCTAACCTTTTAAACTGAGCTCAAGTTAATTAAACATTTTTTAAATCACTTTGACGGGGCTACGGAAGGGGTGGAGCGGAGGAGAGGAAGGTTGGGGCAGTCAGTGAGGGAGCCCCTTGTCACATTCTCATTGGAAAATGAGTATGTGTCATTCTTGGGAAATGCACAGGAAGTGAGAGGGGCTCTCGCGAAAGTCAGAGTGTGTCCTGCACGGCAGGTTAGTTCCGGGCGCGGAAACGTGGGTCTGTCTCTCTGGAAGGAGGAGGGTGAAAGCGAAGCCTGGAAAGGGGTCCCACTCAGAAGATGCCAGCTGGGGCATAGGCGCCTGTCACTTCAGGAGTTGGGACACAGGAGACACCAGGCCGGAGACGGGTTTGCCTCTTGGGTTTCTAGTCTACAGGACACCTCTCTTGTAGAGGGGGGACCAAGTTGAGTTGAGCTCTATAAATATCTCCTTTGGATTCTCTAATGTTGCTGCTAAGGAATCCCCTCAACTAACTCAACTACCTCTCTTAACCAAATAAACCCGTGTGTGGATTCTCCCCACCCCTCGCCTCCACCGCCCTTAGAGCGCTGACCCGGCCGGCCGAGGCTGGCTGGAGCCAGAGGCCACTAACCGTTTGAAGGAGAGCTACTCACTGCTAACGGAGCTGGGGTTAGGGCCCCGGGGGGCGTCGGGGTCCTCAGAGAACAAGGGGGGCTGAGAGGTCCAGGAACTTCGGGGACGGATGAGGGGCTCCAGCAACCCCCGGTGCAGCGGATGCTGGGGCTGCCGTCGCTCCCAGCCCCACTCCCTGGAAAATGAGGGTGGTACAGGGCGTTTGGCCGCAGCCCCGTGCCCTCGAAGGCCACTGCAGCCTTTCCGTGGGGAGTGGGAGGGGCAGGGCTGCTCCCCGCCCACCCTCCTTCATCCAGCTCTGGGACTCAGTTTCCACAGAAGGACGAAATAACCAAGAAAGTAGAAATAACTCCCCACCCGCCTCCAAAATGGATTAAGTGAGCCAATTGAGTCACGTGGCCACACCAAAACACACAACTTAGTGCCATATATCAGCCGGGGGCCTGGGCTCACTGCCAACTCAGGACGACTCAGTTAGCCAGCCTGTGATTCCTGGGCCTGTTTTTATTTCCTGTAACCAAAGCTGGTTATTTGTTGTGGGTGTTTTAATAAGTCTCCTGACCTTGACCCCCTTGGTACGCAATACGATTCTTTTTAGTGGAAATTTGCATTTTCAGTTATTGACCATCATTGATGGGTATCTAACAAGGGCAGACTTTTTTTGAAAACATTTTGGCCTCAAGAGCAGAAGCTTAACCAGAGAAAGCATTGCTGGTCAACGTGCAGTCCATCAATCCAGCCAAAACCCCAGCATGACCACATTTGCCGGCCACATTTCCTGCCATGACCTCAGGGATCCTACAGTACGGGATCGGGATCCTATCAGCCGCCCTCTCCCCAGCCTCAGGCGTGGCTTAGGTGTCAGATTTCCCAAGCTGTGCCCCAGCGAGCTGCTAGCCAGGCTGTTGTCAAACGTGCTCAGTAGCCCTACGTAGCCATACTTAGAAAGCGTGAGTTAAAAAGTTGGAATAAATAGTATACTTGCCTGACACTTCTTCTCTCTCCTCCCACCCCCGACTTGTATGTTCTCTCCTGGGCATCCTGACCATCTGTACCCTGCAGAGCATCCCTGGATGTCCAGGCAAGACTGGGCGAAGTTTCTGAGTGGCCCTTTGTTTAGGTGATGTCATCAGACCTGGACCCCCACCAGCCTCACTCCCCATCCCGACCAGAGATGGCTCACTTCGGATCGAGGGTTGACTACATCTCATCATCTCACGAATCTGCTGTAATATAAGACAACAGCTTTTAAATGTGTATATAACCCATGATTTTGGTTTTGCTTTGTTTTTGTTTTTCTTGATGGTTTCCCTTCCCCTTCTCTCTTGCCCCTTCTCCTTTTAAATCTCTTTGAATCACATTTAGTAGTGATTTTGACTTAGTCCAGTAGTCATATAGCTTTAATATCTAGTTAAAAGCTAACCATAGTATAATTGTTATATTAAGGTATTATTTTTTTTCTTTAAAAAAAAAAAGTTTTTTTGCTCGTTTTGATTCTGTTCTCACTTTTAAAGGATGCTGAGATGGTAATATTACTCTCAATATTTTGGTACAAATTCTGAGACTCTGTGAACCTTCAGGCACAACTGGAGCACACAGGGAAGCGCGGTTGTGGCGTGTGGAGGGGAGGTGGGCTTCGACGTTCTCCTTTGCGTTGTGTAAGAAGTGAGATGTAGTAAGCTAATAACAGACTATAGCAGTTCTTTTTTTGTGATGTCTCTTTGTTAACCTAAGTATATCTATTTTCGGCAATAAGGTAAGGACGACCATGTTTCGAGTGTCCTCCTTTTCTATAAGTGCTTTTTTTCTGTTGAAAGAGGTGATATTATAAGGTTTTTTGAAATTGTGAATTCTAAAAAAAAGAAATGTTGTAAATACAATTCCATTAACTACATAGAAACTATTAAGAAAGAGAGAATCAAAAATATTTTTGTGAGGGAGTCGGTCCCAGGCAGTTTGATGCTCTGTGGAAGGAGGAGGGAAAGGAACGCGAACCGCGTGAGTCGCTGCGACCGAAGACCACCCAGCTGCCAGGACGACCCCAGGAGACGCTAGAGCGCTGCTGAGCTCCTTCTGTCTGTGTGATAGACCTCACACTCTCCTAGTGTCATACCAGCATACTAACCTCTCGTCTGTGCACAGCTTCAAATGTTACCGTCTCGTTAGATTTTTATTTAAAATATGAAAAACCGCTTTTCCCGAGACTTTTTTAAAAACAAAGCTACAATTTTAATATTTAACATATTTAAAGTTTCAAAGCACACCTGTTTGGCTTGGGTGGGGAGGGGTGGGGAGACATCCTTTTTCAGTCTTAATTTTTAAATATTTGATCATTTTCTATTGTCCAATCATTTCAGCACCTCCAAAGGTTCCTCGGACCCTTTGCCTCTCTTCTCCCCCTGCCCCTCACCCGCCCCCAGCTCTGGGGGCGCCCAGGCCAGGAATGGATACGCCTGCATCAATGAAACCTTTTCTCCATTCACTTTCTATTTACAAATTAGGAAAGCAACCTTTTGGTTTATATATTATTTTTAATACCTCAGTGCTGCAAGTATCACCAGAGAGGCTATGGAAGAATTTTTTTTTAATTTATTGTAGATGTAAACAGAATTTTAAAAATAAAAAGTATAAACATCGCTGCACTGTGACTGGTGGGAAAAACTGACAGTTTCCTGTTTGCACATGTTAACATTTGGCTGTTATAATATATGGTCCTCAGTTGGGGAAAGATACTTATGATGAAGGATATTTTTTAATTTAACTTTTTTTTAATATTGGTAATAGGTCGGCAACAGCAACTATAGAAGTACAACTCAATAGATGGCATTAAAACATATTGTAGTGTGGATATATATTTTTTTCTTTTTTAAAATGTGATATTGCCGTTTTATTAATATTTTTTAAATTGTTACGTTTATAAATTTGGTACTTAAGGCACAGCCAGTATGAGACACTGAATGCGACATTTATTATAAAGAGCTGCTGCACTCCTATTTTTATAAATTTTACTAACAAAGTAGACTAATGTAGACATTCACAGACACGGTAGGGCAAATGCATCTTCAAACAAAAGGCTCCAAAATGCTAACTCAGAAAGAAAGAAAAAAGCCTTTTTCAATTCTAATTAAACAACAACATTGAAAAATAATCATGTTCTTTGTTTTTTTCCAATGTTAGGTTGTTTGGTGAGATTTTTTTGTTTTTCTTTCTTTTTTTATTTCCAAACAACCAGGTTAAGTAAAAAAATTTAAAAAAACTGGGCGCTTTTCAAATATCCAAACTTGTTCAAGTAACAAAGTAACAAAATAGGCATTTTATTTAAAAAAAAAAAAAAGACCATAAATTCCCAGAAATTCAGTGTCTAGACTAGGGAATTTAATTACCATTTGTCCATGTCGGTGACGTACTGTACTACCCTGCCTTTCTCTGCGTCCCCCATCACCTCATAGAAGACTCTTTGTTGATCACTGTCTGTTAATAATGTATAAAATGGCTATCTTGTAAGCGTGCTGTCCTGGTACTAGTGTAGTGACTTTTTTTCTTCTCTTTCTTCTAGTACATATTCATAGGTATAACGTAATTAAGGTTTAAAAATTTAGACATAGTTATTCAGATTTAGGACCAGTAAGGATAGAACTTTCTCTTATTTATGAAAAAAAAATGCTAATAATTTTGGGGCAGTTTTTTCCTTTCAATTTTTTTTTTTCAATTTCAAGTTTTAATTTTATTTTTTGCTGATCTGATGTGGTTTCAACTAACCCAAGGTCTCACGATGTTCAAATGCCGGCAGACTCTACGGCGTTTTGTAGATTCCCACCCCCCCGCAACTGTGAAGGGGTGTGCCATACTACCTTAAATGCTAATGCTAGATATGCAAAACTGGATTTTTTTAATTTATTTTTTAAAAGAGGGAGGCATGGTATATTAAAATGATTTTACTAAGAGAAAAAAATATTTTTTTAAGAATGCTCAGAAGAAATTGATAATCTGTGTGAATATGTTTTAGATGTTTATAATACCTTTTGAAGAGACCCAGTAGCCCATAGCACAAATCTTGTGGAAATCTGATATGTTTTAATGTGGCTACCTAGGTTAAGGTTCACGTTAGTCCCCTACTCATCTAGGAGTCCATTTTGAAAGATTTTTGTAAATTATGTTAGCACTGACGTTCAGCCTTGTCTTTGTTTCAGTTAAGCTCAATGGCGAACATGGGAACCACCTTTCGCCTTCCCTGGGGGGACAAACCCTCTTGGCTGATGGCTTTTCCCCGGAATCATAAAATAGCCACCGGGTGACTTTCTGGCTTCCAGATCCATCTGCCTGGGACCCCCAAACTCCTCTCCTCCCAAGCAGGGGAGAGTGAGGGGCATTAGCTCCTGGACCCATTCCGGGTTCTCCTGGATGTGGAGCAGACGGGGATGACCGGGCTCTCGGTCTCCGGTCCAGGAGCTTTTGCACACCTGGTTTGTGGCCTTCCTCACACCCATTGGGAAAACCAAACAGCCTCTCGCTCTGTCCCAGTCGCTCATTGGCTTGATTTAAACGAAGCCCTGACAGGCCTTTGCGTTTCTATCCTTCCTTCATAACCTTCATCTTAATTTGAACTCGTAGCTTGGACTTTAAGGTAGCATGGCTCTATTGCTGTCAATTTAATGTTTCACTGCACAGCAATTCACAGCCAGTGAATGTTACACACATCTTACTAGACTAGTATAAAAATCATTGGGTAATTGTTGGTTCTAATGACCTGAAAGGTGTTCAGTTTTTGTTTTCAGTTCTGTTTTTATTTGGGGGGGAGGGGCCTTATTTTTCCTTTTTTTTTTTTTTTCCTTTTTTTTTTTTTTTTTTTTTGGTTGTTTTTCATTTGGGGATTTTAAGAAAAGATTTGTTTGGGTTCCAAATAGAAAAACAAAACCTGTTTTGATCTTTAGTGCAAACGAGGGCTAGGGACTTAGCCACCACCACACTGCTTCATTCTGCCATTCACTCACTGCAGCATCATCGAAAATAAAGCAATATAGTTTACGACATTTTTTTTATTGAAGGTCAGCCATGCTTTCTGTATTATATTGCATATGAAATTGTTTACAAGAGAAACACTAACTCATCCTTCTCTTTATTGGTTGGGAGTAGCACGCAGGGACAGAGGGAGACCCGGGGCTGGGTGGGGAGGGGCGGACTATTTTTCTTGAATGTGCTTCACCAGCCAGATAACCTTCCGAGGAAGGCAAAAGCAGGGCAGGAGCAGAGGGACGGATGCAGGCAAGCACACCAACAGAGACGCTGGCGGGCTCCCCGCCCTTAACCTAAGCAGAAAAGAAGCAGAAGTCAGCTCAGCCCAGACCTGGGCGCAGACACTACACAAGGAAACGCTGTACGTTAAGCAATACTTTAATACTGTAATGTGTTTGTTTCCTTTTTGTTTCTTTTATTAACCAAAAAAAAGTACGTAAACTAACACACAGAGAAATATGAATAAAACCCACCCCTCTGGGGAAGCAACCTTAATCCAAACTCTCGGCTCTCAAAAATATAATCAGAATGTATTGTCTCAGACAGGATTTCATTCCCAGGAGGCCGGGGCATGAGGGGGAGGGGGAGGGGGACTGTGAGACAAAAGTTCCAGAGCCTCCCTAGCAGGCACTCTGCTGCTGTATCTGTACATACTGTACCATCCCGTGTGGAATCTGTGAGTGTCCTCTTGAGTAGCGTGGGCTAGCCAATCTGCCGTTCATGGTGTGTTGTAAACTCGGAATTCCATATGTAATAGGATGCAAGTCTAAGCGTTTCATGTGGACATCAATGTATCTAAATAAAACTTTCCCTAGCACTGTGGCTGACCTCACCCTTACTTTTATACTTTAGTATGAAACTGATGACAACTTTGGTAGTGAGTATTTTTTTTATATATATACATATATATGTATCTATATATATATATATCTCAAGCATCTTTCAGGTCTTTGTGTGTGGCTTTCTTAAAGCCCTGTTGTAAAAAATTACTATGTGGATGGCAGTCTCTCACATCACAGATGTGGAAAGTATAATTTTATATTTGTATTTTCAAATAAATAAGTTTGTGAAAGGTTTCCATCCTCTACTGTGGTCCAGAAATCAATGTGTTTGTCTGACAAAAAAAAAATAAAATAAACTGTTTTGAACAGAGTTTCGTGTTCCTTCACTTGGAAGGTCGAGGAGAGCTGTGTGTGTTTGGGGCTGGGGACGTCACCCATAAACCTGCCTCCCCTCACCCCTCGGCAAGGATGTGGGTCGCTGGGCCTCAGACAGAGAAGCCCTTTCCCTATCCCCAGGGATCTTATGGGACTTTTTTTATCCTCACCCAAGGATATTTTTACTGATTTTAGAGAGAGAAAGAGAAAGAAACATGGCTGGCCAGGATCGAACCTGCAGCCTTTCGATGCATGGGACAATGCTCCAACCAACTGAGCCACCCCATCAGGGCATGGGACGATTTTTATGAAGCAATGAGAGCAGGCCAGAACAAACATCAAAGGACCTGTGAGATCACAGGACTCATGGTAGAAAGTGCGTTGAAGGAGCTAAGCGGCTCTCGAGGTTGCTGGCCCCAGCGAGTCATGCACAGCCTGCTGGAGAAGGCATTGCGCCGAATTCCGTGACCCTTGAGTAGGCTGTTCTCTGCTCACTGGGAGGTCAGAGAAAAGGGGGCCTGAGAGAGAGGTTGAGCAGGTCAGCCGTGGACAAGCTGCTGCTGTCCATTGCTCCCCTGGTTGCAAGTCTCATGGGGACTGTTAAAATTTAGGAGGAAAAAAATTCAATGGAAAAGATTAGAGTGGGTGTGCCCAAAGGAGGACACAGGCTGGCTTCTCTGTCTTGAGGAATTTTATCTGCTTTCCAAAGGTGGGGATTTTAGGGGAAGCCTCGCAGTAGAATATTCATCAGCTGTTCCAAGTGTGTTCTCTTAGGGACATAGTCTCCACTGATTGGTTAGCACCGGGACAGATTGGTCAGCACCAGGACAGGGAGTTATTAGTCTTTACAGCTGGTCCTGGTGTCACAGTTCTGGTTTTGCTGCTTTTCTGGGCCTAGAGCTGAAATACAACTGAAGCCTAGATGTTACCTCTAGAGAAGAGAGGTGCAGTACCAGTTCTGCCTGCTGCCAGCCACCTGGGCATCTCTGCCCTGGCAACCTGTATCTGGCTGTAAATTGCTGGGTCAGTTCGGTTATCTGTCTCAGTTTCCCCATTTCACTTGCCAAGGCATTTTCCTAGCTTCTTGCCTCATTCTCCCTCCGCCTCATCCTGATTGCTCAGCTCCGAGGAACACAAGGCCCAACCCACTCCAAGAGACCAAGGAGCAAGTGGGGAATAGGAGCATCAGCTGTGTGCTGGACAAGTTCCACAATGGTCTGGTTAGTCCTACGTGTGACATGAGACTGCCTACATTTTCATGTTCAAGGAGGGTAGGTAGTTTGTCTACGTATGACTGCTACCTGGTAGAATCAGATCTTAACTCCAGGACACCCTGCCCCTGGGTTTGAGCCTGGTGACAAATGCCACTATCAGTGTTAAGTGTGCCTGGTTGGGGGGAGGGGGTAGGAGATGTAGGAGCTCACCTGAGACAACAAAATGTACCCAAGAGGCAGAAAAATACCAATATAGAGAAAAACCAAACTTTCAAAGAGAAACTGAAAAAGTAGAAAAATCAGCAAAAACTAGGAAAAGGAAAAAAAGAAACAGCAATGTTCAGATAAACAGAAGCATACTAAGCAAAGTAGGAATGAAAGAATGCTATCCATGGGATCTATCATTATCTAAATAGGAATCGATTGAATTTTCTAAGTGTTTAGAAAAAATAAAACCCACTTAAATGATAAGGCTGAAAATAAAGGGGGTGGCAAAGAAAAAATAAGCAAAACAATTGAAATGTCAATATCAGATAGGTGGACTTTAACATTAAAAAATTCCACAGGATACTCTGTAATGACAAAAGACATGGTGTATTATGAGGATATAGACGTGATAAACCCTGTGCCTTAACTAACAGATCTAAGCAAATCAGAACCTTATGATTTCAAAGAGAACTTGAAAACAATTAAGATATAATTATAGACTTTAATATACTTCTCTCAGAACTAGACATGTTTAATAGATAGAACTAAAGACAAGGATTGCATAATGCAATTAAGTGATCATCAGACTACATAGAATCTTTAAATAGATAGTGGATATTTTTTCTTATATCCATGAACATAAACAAAAATCAATCCAATATTTGGGAAAAAATAAGTTAATTATTAATGATTGATTATTGAATAATAGTAATTATATACATGATATTAAACAAGTAGCAATTTTATAGTCTATATTCCATTATCACAATCGATAAAATTAGAAACAACTAAAATACAGCTATAACCATTATAATTGCACAGAAATTAAGAAACAATTCTGTACATCCTTGGATCAAAGAGGAAAGTTTAAAAAATACAAACTGTCTAGAAAGCAATAAAAAGCACATGTTATACCTGAACTTGTAACATACAGCAAAAGCTATAAATGAATAGCTTTAAATGCCTTTGATGGAAAAAAATTTTTTCAGCAAAAGAACTTACTCATCCGTAGAAGATTAGAAGAAACTGATAGAAGCAGGATTTTTTTTTAATGACAAAAAATATGCAAATCACCCTAAATAAGGAGGAAAAGAGCAAAAAGCACAATATAAGGAACAAGAAAGGAGACATAACCACAGGTAACAGAGAGAAAAGAATTAATATTCAATGGTAACAAATCTAAAAAGAGGAATCAGAAAATTTTCTAGCAAATATAAATTGCTAAAACTGGTAAGAAGTGGAAACCAGAATAAACTTACTACCACAAAAGATGTTGAAAGGGTGATTAAAAATCTAATACCAAAAAATAGACTGGGTACAAACCTAGTTGGATGGATGAGTTAGTTGGAGTGTGGTCCCATGCAGCAAAATTTGCAAGCTGGATTCCCAGTCAAGGCACATACCTAGGTTGCAGGTTCAATCCCCAGTCAGAACGCACATGGGAGGCAACCGATTGATGTTTCTCTCTCTCTCCCTTCCTCTCTCTCTAAAAATTAATTTTAAAAATAATCTGAAAAAATGGAAAGATCGCATTCTTTTTTTTTAATCCCCATCTGAGGATGTGTTCACTGACGAGAGAGACAGAGACAGAGATAGAAAGAGACAGAGAAAGAAACATCAATGAGAGAGAGAAACATCAATCAGTTACCTCCTGCACATGCCCTGACCAGGGATAGAACCCGCAACCTCAGTATGCGCCCCGACCGGGAATCGAACCCACAACCCCTTGGTGCACAAGATGATGCTCCAACCAACTGAGCCACCTGGCCAGAGTAAGATCACATTCTTGAATGGAAAGATCTAATCATAAATGTCTGTGCTCCCAAATATATATATATATATATATATATATATATATATATACACACACACACACACACACACACACTATATAAAACACAATTCCAAATAAAAATCGTCACAGGTTTTGTTTAATTAAATAAATATTAAAATGATATAAAAGAAGAAATGCCCTTAAAATAGCAAGAAAAAATATTTAAAAGGATTATAAATGTTACCAGTATTACTAGATACCGAGACTTACCTAAGTCACCCTGCTCTCATCACTGTGGCAGAGGTATAAAAAAAGTCAAATAGATCAATGGAAGAGAATAAATAATCAAGAAATAGAAAAATAAAAATTTAATACTGTATGTAAATGTACTGAGTAACTTAATTTCACTGAAAAAGGGTGGATTACTTAATATATGGTACAAGTGCTACTGGCTTTC